GTAAGGGTCGGTAGGTCAGATGGGGATGTGCAATGCAATCTGTCTGTAAGGTTATAGCGGGTTTCGCCCATAACGAGTTTCGCACATATCGTTTCGCCCAGAACGAGAATGGTTTCGCCCAGAACGAGAATGGTTTCGCCCATAAGTAAAACTTCTACACTCTCACTCGGAAAACGTCAACCTTATAAACGTTTGTATGCATAGAATGAAGAAAAGTGACTTGACCTGAGATCATGAAATTTTGAAACGAACAAGTTACTGTTGAAACGAACAAGTCAATTATAGCTTTCACTGTGGAGCGGGGATTGTTAAGGTAATTCGCGCACGAAATACTGCAGAGACGTCCGTTTGTCGTAAAAGCATTGCTATGATTTTTTTGCATCACTTTTCTTCTCGAGAATTAAATTAAACGCTTTTGAAAACACTTGCGCGTGGAACATATCATCGTTGCAAATCTTTTGTACACGGAAGTTAAGATCCGCGCGCCGCACGAATCGAATTTATGCCTGGGCGAAACCATTCTCGTTATGGGCGAAACGCTTCTTGGGCGAAACTCGTTATGGGCGAAACCCGCGGATACCGTCTGTAAGGATGAGTTTACCATTGCCGATACCATACACCCTCCAAACTAGTAGCCCCTCTTCCTTGTACTCAACATTACTGAGCTGACCAATAGCCTCTATCTTTGAAGATAGCACTGTCGGGACTTGGACAGTCTCACACAATGCTACGTTAACACCAGGAACTCAACTTTCAATCACATGCCCCCTTGTGGATCAGAAAAATCTAGACGCCTGATCTTGACACCTTCTTCATGGCCAAGGGCTGCTGCACAGATGAGAGTGGTTCCGCAGTGGTAGCAGCCAGCATTATCCTGCTGATAATAGACAATCTTGAGCCCAGGAATGGCGATCTTGAGCTGCCGAATAACATTGGCCAGAACAGCAAGGACTGTCTTGACTACAGGACTTGAAAATGTGTGCGAACATTAGGATCTGCAACTCCCCTCCCTCTCATCTTGTGGCAACTTTCAAATGCCATGGCATCCCACATTTACCGAACCAATCAGTCTGACTTTCTCTATACTTCCAAGGAAGATATTTCATTGCCTAATCTTGAACAACTAAAACAGATGACTCATCAATCGCTTCCAAAAGCTGTACTCTGGTGCCATTCTGATTGACGGAATGGAGGAGATGAGACTTCCACACCAATATAGTGGTCTTCACATTCTTGACTCACAAAACAAGTTCTTCCTTTGTGTTGGATGTCATGTTTTGACTTTGCGCAACCAAACCTTCCTTGATATCATTTGGAGTAGATGCCAATGTAGCACGGCGCTCACATACGTCACTGTGATCTCAATCACATGTGGCCTGGAACAAAGGCTCCTTCACGTTGCTTAAAGCGAATGACCTGCAGTGATCTGCTACTGTAGAACTCTGGGAAACGTGGACCTGCAATAAATGTTTGAAGAAAAGTTATAATCAAGAAGCACTGCTTTAAAGAGTACTAGGCAGAAAGATAGAGAAGATTTCTTATGATAATCAGACTTGCGTTCACTTTGTGTTTCTATTGATTGAGGGGCTTGGTCTGTTGTCAGTGAGCCAATTAAATGGCGAACCAAACTGGAGTTCCTGGCGAAGCTGAAAAACTTCTGCCCTTCTTTCTGCCAATTCCGTCGGCTGGTCACTGACGATTTCGTGCAAGTGGCGAATGCGTTGGTCGTACCCCTCAAGAAGGGGCAAAGAGAGGACAGACTGCTCTACCTCGAAATGCCTTGGGCCACGTTTGTAGAGGACGTTTGCTTGCGGCTTGTCTACTTTGAACTTCGAAAGCATTTTAAGACTTTAAACAACTTTGAACCGATCTTTTTCGATGACTATTTTAGATAACTCTTTTCCAATGACGAGAGCGAATGATTGTTGTCAATTGCAAGTGGCACACGCGTCAGTTTTAAAACCTGTCATTAGCATAATAAGGGCATTCATGAAAACAAGAGAACAATTGATGTCAACTGAGCACGAATTTCAAAGACGCTTTCAAAGATGTTTCGGGACGGAAACAAAGTTTGTTTAATTGTATACATAGGCAATTCGTACAGTGATTCCCACAACAATCTGAATAAAAGTCTATATTAAAACCTTTCAAGGCTGCCCAGCCGCTTCTTCAAGCAAGCGCGCTTCTTCAAGCAAGCGCGCTTCTTCACGGAAAGAAAAAAAGTCATCACTTAATGTGGGATATTGATCAAATGAAGCCTTTAAGTGCTACTGTGGTTCTTTCTTTATTTATTTACTCCGAGCTTTCGCCGTTCTACGGCATCATCAGGGAGGGCGATAAAATATTTGCGCTATGGTTTTAAACGTTGGAGGTGCCACTGTAAATTAGCATAGTGTAAAACTAGCCAGTAGGACGCATGAAAACTAATGGCGTGATAAAATGTTCTAAAATATGTGTTAAAAACAGTTAATTAAAATAGCTCATTAAAATAGAAGATCATTAAGTTCAGTGCATTCCTCACGGGAGTTCAGTCCTTGTGCTTTCTGATGTAATACGCTTCGTACAATCGCAGATTGACGGGGTCATTTTCACGCGTGATTACTTTGACTTCGATGTTATGGCTATTGTTGCGATGGTGTGTTGTGAGATGTTTTTTTACCGACGAGTTGTCGTTGGTCAAGTGTTCTTTTGTTCGATCATGTAGGAATCGTGTCGTGCTTCCGATGTAATATTGCCGCAAGCTTTGCACGTGAGCTGATAAACGGTGTTTCTCTGTAGGCATAAATTGGTGTCTGCGATGGGGCAGTTTGGTCTGTTGCATTTCCTTTCTGTTGTGTTGTGTGAAAGGGCTTGTCTCAGAGTGTAGGACTTGTGGGCGATTCGCACTGGGATGTTTTCTCTCTTGAAGATTCCCGTGATTTTTCGGTTTAGCCGGTCTGAGATGAACGAGATTTTGAGATAATGCCACTCTTTTGTCTGTGTTTGGTGGTCTCTTTGGTGATTCTGCAGGTCATCAATTAATGGTTTGTTGACGATCAAATTCGCAACAAAGCCCATAAGACAATACACAATACTATGAAAGCGTTTAAAAAGCTTTGGACACTTTCAAGGTCTTGATGCACTGAAAGGGGTTTTATTATGACAATAAACCGCTCTAACAGTAGATATTTCAAATATAATTGGTTATGACGCTTTTTAATTCTTCGCTTGAGACAGACCGCTTTCTCGCAACTTGTTTGGCGCGCATTACAACAGGCCAGCAAAAATACTTTAAAATACTTGTACCTTCGCTTCAGTTTCGATTTCTTTTACGATAGTTGTGTGGCATATTCCATTGGTATTTTAAGATACAAACTGTCGTCCTTTCTCTACATCGAAATTCTGCATTTATTTGCGGGAAAAAGGAGAGAACTTTACACAGCCGACAGCCCGCTCTCCATGTAACAAATTTATCCTTCCGTCCCCCGGCAAGTTTGCCGTTGCTCTAGACAACTTCTCCCTAAGCCCAGCCCGAGAAAGAAAGATTTTGTCACATTCAGGTCATTAACGAAGTTTTTGAATCTCGCGCTCGGAAATTGGATACGCGTCGGTTCTTTCAAACCTTTGTTCTTATAACAAAAGAGCCTCAAAGTTGTCAACAATGACAATGCCCATAAAAGGATAAAAAAATCGTGCCATTGTTAGCAAAATCCCAACCCAAAGTTTGATATGGAAGTGAATTCGAAAACCTAGTGGCTGATACTTGAAAAGTCTTAGCACCTACTGATTTTCTTTTATACTTTGGGCAAATTAAATTCAAAGACCCATATCTATTTTTTTTTTCAGTAGAACGTATGGTGATATTTCATTTGAGTAATTCTGACATATAATCGGGACACACCCTGTCCAAACGTTTATAAACTAATGTGCACTAATTAATCTTAGCTTCATGAAAAAAGGTAGCCAATTAAGTTCTCTCAGCAGATCTACACTATTTTCTCTAGTATCAGCATTGAGAGGAATGTGTCTGGCATGCTTCTGTAGCCTGAAGACCTTATTTAAATTATCAACAGAAGTAGAAACCCACACTAGAATCATACATCATGATTTGTTTTATCATGGCAAAGTAATAAGAACTCATTGATCTAAAGGTAATTGATGCCTGATTTTTTTCAAAACAGCAATACACTATGTTAGCTTCTTACACAGATTATCAATATGCTCATTAAAATTAAGCTGAGTGTCAATAATTGCACTAAACAGTTTATGAGACTGGACTTGTTCGAGTTCGACTGAGTTGACATGGACAGTGAGTGAGGTGCTGCTCATCTTCCTATGTAGACATTTGCCAGCTACTAACATAGCTTTAGTTTTGGACTCATTAAGTACCATTTTATTGTCTGTGGTCCATTGTGCAACTTTACCAACATCAGCTTGAAGAACTTGATCGAAGGCTCCGGGTGCTGATCTGTAATTAACATTGGCACTGATAGTAGTATCATCTGCATATATGTCTGTTGCTGAATGTTCCAGCATCTTTGGTAGATCGTTCATAAATATAAGAAACAAGACTGGTCCTAGGATACTCCCTTGAGGCACTCCAAGGTTTGCATCTCTACTATCATCAGGTAAATCAAATTTTCAAGTATTGTTAAACTAATATGTCATGTTATGAAGTGGTATTTCTTCAATCAAGTCCTGGCTGTTAACCACACTATTTTTGTGGTCATCCTGATTATAGAAGTTTGAAAAATTGATGACCTGAAGTTCCAAATGATGAGGATATTTGTCAAGTCATTGAACGGTATTCAATATATGGTGGTTTGACATTATACAGTCAACTCCCGCCTTGCGGACACCTCGCTATTACGGATGCCCTGCTATTACGGACACCCCGCTATTACGGACAGCAGCAAAATCCCCAGCAAAAGTTACAAACGTTTGACTGAAATAAACTCCCGCTATTACGGACTCTCGCTACTACGGACTTACGGACACTTCATTCGGTCCCAACGTCACAA